TGATAATGATCTTGTTTTTAATGAGGATGATGAGGATGATCATGAAAAAGAAGAGATGACGACGACAAAATTCTATTTTGTTTTAAATTAATTCAAAACATGATTATCGTTAAATGTCATGTTTTTTTTCTTTGTTTCCTCTCGGAAAAAAATTGTTTTTCAATCTGACGTCACAAAAAAAATAAATTTGGTTTTTCTGTTTTGTCTTTGTTTTTTGTTTCCTGTTCATTAGCTGGCCCCAAACAAATAATTGAATTATTTTTTTTTTCACTAATTTTACGTTTTTTTCGCGAATTTTGGATTAGGTATAAAACTTTAAATGTAAGAAAAAGAAGCAAAAAAGTAACAATTTATAAATAAAAATTGTAAATAGATTAAAATTAAATAAATTTAAAAATTTAGTAAAAGAATTTTATCGTAAATTAAGGGTTAAATTTTTTCAAATTGAAAAAAAACATGCCAAAGGGGACAATAATTTAAATTTGAAAAATCAAAAAAAACAATATTAAGAAACCGGAAAGACAAAATGGCCAAAAGAAACAATCAAGGAATGCCTAAATGAGTGAATGAATGAATGAACGAACGAACGAACGAATGAATGAATGAATGAAAATTCTTCATATTCCTCTACATATCTCTATTTATTTTTACATAACTCTATAAACTTTTATTCATCTTCACTTATCTTTCTGCATCTTTACGTACTTATATATATATCTTTTTAAATCTTTACACATCTTTATGTTTTTACATTTCTTTACATTTTTCTTTACATTTTCACACAGCGAACAAATCTCCCGCGTTTCATTTACAGCAAGAAACGCTTCGATGACGTCATGGCAACTGTTATTATTATTATTATTATTATTGTTGTTGTTGCTGTTGTTGTTGTTGTTCTTTATTGTTATTGTTCGTTGTTGTTATTGTCATAATTATTTTTTTATCACCTATTAAAATCGTTAATCGTGCGCGTCGTAACTTCATCATCGTAATCGTCATCATTATCATCACTGGCAGACACATCTTCTTACTCAGCACCATCGTCATCATCACCATCATGGATGACGTCATCATCGTCGTCATCACGGGTCCAGGTCTTCAAAGTTTAATATTCATCATTCTCAATTCATCATCTAGAGCAGAATTTTCATTTTCACAAATTTTTTTTGGTATTAATATCATCATCATCATCGTCATAGTCATCATCTCCATCATCATCTTTTTCTTCTTCTTCATCATCGTCATCAGGACCAAACTGATTGTTATTGTTATTTTTTTTAAATATTTATTTGCGGATGCTATCTTCACTTCCGCTGAATGTGATCATTTCTTATTTGGTATCTTTCCGCTTCAATATGGCGGACGGTGACGTAATGTATGTTGTATTTTCAATGCTAGTTCACTTGGTGGCCATGTTGTAGTTGTTGTTGTTGATAGTTTTGTTGTTGTCTGTTTGTTGGTGTTGTTGCATATAATGTTGATGTTTTAGTTGATGTTGTTTGTTGATGATGTTTGTTGATGTTGTTTGTTGATGTTGTTGCTATAGATGTTGTTTACGGTGTAACTGTTGTTGTTGTGGCTGTTGTTGATGTAATAATTGTTGTTCTTTCTTTCTTTTATTACTGCAGAAGCCAGTCCAGACAATGAATCAACATGCAACACGTTCAAGTGCTATATATAAATACATCTGTCAGTTATGTATGTACATCTTTCTAAAAATATAACATATTCATCACTGTACGAGCGTGTGTATGTGTGTGTTTGTGTGTATGTTTGTATGTGTATGTATGTATGTGTATGATTGGATGTATGTGTGTATTTATGTGTATGTTTTATGTGTATGTGTGTGTATGTTTGTATGTTTATGTATGTGTATGGTTGTATGTATGTGTGCATGTATGTGTATTACGTTTGTATGTCTGTGTGATAACTGTATTTGAGTGGGTTTTTTGTAATTTCAATTAAAACAAATTTTTCATTGTTCTACTACAATTTTCATCTATACAACGAAAACAATATTCTCATCTTGGTTGCAAAAATGTCTTTTACATTCAAGAAGTGTTTAAAAGTTTTTGCTCTTTCTTTGTTTTTTTTCTATTATTCTTTGTTTATTCTTTGTTTTCGTTAATTTGAATGGTGCTTTTTAAATTTCAAAATTCTTGCAGAAAAGTAATTGTTGCTCATTGTAAGGTACGCACCAGTTGAAACACGTTGTATGTATGTATGTATGTTTGTTTGTATGTATGTTTGTTTGTATGTATGTATGTATGTTTGTTTGTATGTATGTATGTATGTTTGTTTGTATGTATGTATGTTTGTATGTATGTATGTATGTATGTATGTATGTATGTATGTATGTATGTATGTATGTATGTATGTATGTATGTATGTATGTATGTATGTCTGTATGTAATGTATGTATGAATGTTTGCATGTATGTTTATACAATTTTGAGAAAAGAGAAAAAAATAGAGAGAGAAAAAGAGAGAGAGAGAGAGATAGTGTAAGATCGGATTAAGACAATAGAGAGTAGCGATAAGACGTTATTCCATCCGAGATGAATATGTATGTTGTATATTTAGTATACTAAACGAAAACACATTTCAAATAAACTTACAAAGGGGGTATTCTACGCGGTATACTTGGGTTTTTAAATTGTATATTCGGGTACTTTACGTGCGTTTCTGAGTATAAGTAGTTGCGGTTGAAGTGCGCGTCTCCTTGTGAAACAGATTCAAATGA